CTCTAATACGAATGACTGAGGTAAATTTGCAATTGTCTCTGGGGAAAAAAAGAGGAAACTTATGGAAGCTGGTAATAAATATCAAATTCAGGAAACCATGAGCACAGGAAACATTTCATGAATATTGTTGTGTAAACAAGAAGTGACCAGTCAGCGTTAAGCCACAATTTAGAAAAAACTCTGGTATTGCAATCACAGTTTGTCTTTGACTTACATTACATCTTTGTCAGTGCCGTCGAGGGTCCAGTTAGCAACAAGGTCTGTGACATCTAAATAATATGAACGAATGTTTGAAAGGCTCAACATTTGACCAGTAAGATTAATTATATGACAAAGGAACTAGCTTATCTTTCTACAACAAGACTTCTTAAAAATCAATAGGCGTAAACAGTAGTCTAAATAGGAGTGTGAAATTCATAACAGACGAAGATCGGGATACGGTATTCATGAAAATAGTGATGTTATTTGCATTGCACGAATAGCGTTGTAAACAGCTGATTAAGGCAAATAATCTCCTCAGCCTGCGTTTTGATAATCACCTGACTCTCAAAAACATCTCAAAACAGAATTTCCGTTTTTAAAACGCCGATACTTTCAAAAAAACCATTGGATAAAAGACAATTATTTTAGTAAAATCTTGCAATCCAATAAATTACTTTTCGCATCGATTACGAAAACACCAAGAAATGTTCTGGTAAGATCTTCAGGAACGTCTTTCATTTATATGCCAGTGAACATCAATAAAGGTTGAGAATGGCCTAACGAATTTTGTTGATCATTGCACTTCAAACGATCTTCCACTACAAAAGAAAAAAATCAGGAACTCTTGAAGTAAGGGCTGCGGACACTGCTTTGCTCTTCTCGATAATTCAAATCTCTTCTGTTCTTCGCACGAGTTGTAACTGCAAGGCTTCGTGACAATTTGTATATTTTAGATAGATCTTTTATCTTGTCGAACACGATGTCCAGTTATAATTAGAATATAAATGATATGCAGTTTCTTTTCTTTGAAGGTTTCAGAATTAATTGCCTAAAAGTCTTAAGTTCTTATCCGTACAGTCATCCCAACTTGCTGTTCTCACTAATAAGACTTGAAATTTTACACCACGGCAGAATGACATACTATACCCGTATTAGCACTTTTTTTGTGTTTGTTTTTCATTTTCACTTGGGCTTTCAACGCTTTTCACGTTCAGTTGCAAATCGCACTCAAGTGCTTAACACGCACGCGCGACGTTCTGACTGATGAGTACATGTTATGGTGTAACGGCGGAAGAAGAGAGGTCTTTGCGGTGCAAAATAAGTACAGATACTGTGTATAATACGCTCAAAACGCATACAAAATATGCACACAGCGTTCGCGGTAAACTCATAGTAAAAGAAGTCGAGAGTTTTCGGAACGGGTCGGTCTGCGAACCTTATAAGAGATCTCTTTACAAGCGAACATTTATGAGTGAACCTTTCATCGAGAAACATGCTATATCAACTGAGCTACCTAATGCTAATTGAGAGAAGCATAAAAGCAAATCTCATCGTGTATGTAGACGTGATCGTGAACCAAGCAGAATACCAATACGAAGTTTGAAAAGTTTAGGGAACAAGCTTAAGAGCAGAAGGGTTAGAAAATTTGTCTATGCACGTATTCTTTCATGTATACCCATGTCATCTACATTGTACTATTATGTAAATGCTTAAAATCTATCAAATACAACGACTTTTAAGTTTAACTGTCGTGAAAGAATTCGTCAAAGTATAAGAAAGATAAAGTATCGGGTCAGTCGATATTTAACATCTTTTTCTTGTACAAATTGATTTGTCCTATTGCAACTATAGATTTGGTCCTCCAATGTTTGTTGACCTAACAAAAGAATAGCAGCTCCATATGGTCAAGGTAACGAGTTAGTTTTTGGGCAGAATGCAGGACAACAATGTGTTGTAATGAGTTTGTGCTCTTTGATCTACAATAGCACACTTGGGATCAGCTCTACAATTGATCTTATGCAAATAATGAATATTGGAAATCAGTTTTTTCAAGTTTGTCATGATTAGTCAGACAGGCGTTGTTAAGGCAGTCAGAATTACCAACAGCATTAAATGTGTTTGATACTGATTATCAACTGGAATACAGTGAAAGCTACTCTGGTACTGCTCACCAAGAAACTGCGATAGAGGGATATCAGTACTGTACCTCTTTACGAGGAGCCTTTGAGTCGTCCATATCTGAAAATTAGCTCTGGTTGTGACTCTTTGTTTTCTTTTAGTGATAAGAAAATAAGCAATTGGTTTTCTTGCTTGGGTTGAGTGTCATCACCCCTGCACTTGGGGCTGTTTATAATTAAAAGCTATCCCACCCTGAAATCTTTTGTTAACCAAGAAAAGGAAAACATAAGGAGACAGCCTATGTGGTAAATGACTCACCCCGCTAAAACCCCTTAACCCGCAAAACAATATCTAATCAAGTTAAAACTAAAAAAAAAAAAAAGGAAATAACGTCTAGTGATAAGTATTGAAATAATAGCCAATAATATATGGCACTACCTCCCCCCACCCCAGAAAAGGGTCTGTACACTACATAACAAATGCTGTTTTCAGCTCTCTGTATACATATGTGAGAAACCTGCATCTCCGACATACCAAGACAGAAAACAGTTAAAGGATAAACCAATAATTGCATAAAGAAACTTTGACAAATGCAGGCACAAAGAAAAAAACAAAGTTTGTTTCCAACAGAAAGCCCGAGTGAACGCAAATTTGTGTCGAGGTCAAGAGGAAAATTGAAAGCAGTTGGGACCAATTTCCTTTGCTTCCAGCTAAAAAATTACGCAATAACTTCAAGATATGATAAAAAATGATAGATGAAAACAAAATTAGGAAGCAGCTAGAAATCTTCACAAATTAAAGCGTTTCATGGGACACCAATGCGCATATTATTGAACGATTATGTCAATGACAGAAATAACATTTTAACACCTTTTCAGACCGAGATAAAGGCGCGTTTCAGTTCTCCGAAAGAAACATTACGCTAACTGTCGGTTTCAATTAGAAAAAAACCGACTGTTTTTCTTTCGTAATTTCCTTACATGCAAGCGCAAATCAATAAGTTTCTTTATGTTGGCTCTTTGACAAAAATTATCTTTAAATACGAGCCAATGTCGATTGTTATTTGCATCCATTCATTTGCATTTCGGGTGGATTAATAACCGAAAATATAGACGAAAATAGGCATTTCACGCTGTTATCTATCCTCCGGCTTAGGTATCCAGCTGTGTATAGCAACTTTATCATGAACAATATCTTAAATTGGCTTCTAAATATATATAACCTACACAATTTTGCTCATAGGGTTAAACAAATAACCAATTTTGCACTTGCGTGACCCCAAAAAGCCATCGTGTGTTATTAAAGGTTAAAATGAATTTCACCTACGTGTATATCTTTTCGGAAATTTTTTCCCATAAGATACGGAGGGGAATTAAAATTTTCTTGAGCTAAAGCGAATCATGTTCACGGTTGCTTATGACAACGTTGGAAAACTGGGGACATATGAAAGTTGGATTTGCGACCCAAGCCATTACTATCACAGATCTAGAATTAAAGATGTTTTGAAGAGACGGTCAAGCCATAATTACTTTTTCCTCGCTTGGGCTTCGATTAAAATACGAGGGAAGGGTGAAAGCAGCATTTGTGTAGGGATATTTTTGGGGCTTTTTCAGGGACAGGTTATATGCTGTTTTTACACCATAGCAACGCTATTATCATGGCAATTCTTGTCTTTTGATACAAAGAGAAAATTATCAGGAATTGATTTTATATTCATATATCTACAGTCTATTTCCAAACGATTTGAACAATATTCTTGCAAAAACCTTCAAATGCCTGATTGTCAGTTGTAATCTCTTTCGCTCTCATATCAATTTCTAAAAATCCACTTAACAAGGAAAGTATATATCCCTTTTAAGGAGAGGACACTGAAAGCTACTTAACAACGTAATTTAGAGCACTATTCAATACCTTTTCAAGTAAGGAAAAAGATGAACATCACATGTCTGAATTAGAGCTTTCTCATTTCTCCTTAGATCAGTTACAATTACATTACCTGGACACTTCGTTTTCCCCGAGATAGCGGGATAAGTTAATGTCAGAGAAAAATAAGTGCAGACCCAGAGGTGGTTCATGGTGGCAAGCAACGAGAAAGCTGTAAACTGCGCTGCAAAAATTTTTATTTTTGAATTTATAACGTGCATCATTACCGAATGACAGCAATGGGCACGCTTTGATTGGCTAACCACTGACATCTCATCTACCTAATAACAAAAGAGCTGGAATTCTTTATCTTTTTGTATGTTTGCCTGTCCATTTCTTTTTCGTTTTGGCTCACCGAATTGAACGATGAATTATGGATGTACTCTTTCTCATATGAAGCTACCCCGTTGAAAACGGAAAACAACATCGCATTTTGGCTTTGAAATTCTTCCTACTTCCTCCAAGGTAATTTACAAAGTTGCCGCCCTGAAGCAACACGTACGAGTCAAAAAACAGCGGTGTGTTAGCCAAGAATATTTGTAAGTTTTCCAAATTACCTATCTCGCAATGTTAGTTGTTACCCGTGTCACTCATTTGTGTTTGTGTGTAAACGTTCTCTGGTTTGGTACTTACTGAGGTGATAATACTTTTTTTTCATCTTAAAGCTGTTATTATTGAGTTTTTATCATAAATGATGTTGTATTCTCTGTAATAGCGGGTTGTGAAGCAGGATGAGTAATTTTTCTTGTTATAGTTTAATAACTTCATCCGTGAATGATCAAACTAATGGAACACAAACACTACCTATAATCAAAGTATGCATAAATCGACAAAGCAATTTCCGGTCTGAGAAAACATTTCTTGTTAGTTAGGGAAACTTTCGAAAGCAAAATCTTAGGCAGTTTTTAAACTCAATTCTTGAATCTGTGTAACTAAACAGAGTCACGAAGAACTACTAATTATTATTCAGAACAATCAATTCAGCTTAAAAACATTAAAACTGTCTCCATAGCTATTCACACGCCTGTTCGATGTTAAAGCTAATTACGTTTTCAGACTCTGCCACTAAACATTAAAAAAAACATTTTAACAGAACTTAACCTAAAGATGACAAAAAAGATAACGCTTCCTTTTAAAAAAACATCAAAAAGTGATGGCCAACACCATCATCGAAAAGCCATAAGGCCTCGAGAAGACGGGGTGGCTTTGAGAACACTACTTGATGCTCCAGCTGATCTTGTTGCTGTATTTAACGCAGCAGTTGTTGGCGTTGTGTTATCTGGTGCGGTTGCTGTTGATGTTGCTGAGACACGTGAAACAGCCGATTGCGTTGTTGAATCTGATACAGCAATCGAAATACTTGGTGTAGCAGCTGATGGTTTTGTTGAACTTGATGCAGCAAATGCTTGTGTTGTTTTTTCTGGCACAACAGTGGTTGGTGTTCTTGAATCTGATGGCAGAGGAGCTGGTGTCGTTCGTGCTCTTGAATCTGATGAAACAGATGTTAGTAATACTGTTGATGATACACCGACTGATGGTGTCGTTGAATCAACTGGAAAAGATGTTGGCGTTGATATTTTAGGCAAATCAAGCGGAGTTGTCATGGAATCCGATGGAGGAGATGTTGATGTTGTTATTGTTGTTGTTGTTTCTGAAACGACAGACGATGATATCGATGTGACTGAGTCCGACAGAAGAGGTGTTATTGATGTCGCATTTATCATAACAGTTGGTGAGGCTGTTGAATCCACTTGAGCAGACATTGCAGTTGTTTCTGGCACAACCAGTGATGTTGTTGTTGAACTTGATGTAGTAGATATTAATGTCGTTGTCTCTGGCACAACAGTTGATTTTGCTTTTGACTCCGGAAGAAAAGTTACTGTCATTGATGTTTCTGGCACCACAGCTGATGGAGTTGTTGAATCTAATGGAACTGGTTTTGATATTGTTGAATTTGGAACAACAGCCGAGGATGTTACTGAACCTGACGGAACAGATGTTTGTTTTGATGAGGCAAACGTTGGTGTTGCTGTGGCTAGCAGATTAGTTGATGCTGTTGAATCTTCTGGAACAGATATTGGTGTTGCCATTTTTGGCACAATAACTGATGATGTCATTGAACGGGATGGGGCAGATGGTAGCATTGTTTTTTGTAGCACAACAGGTGATGATGTCATTGAATCTGATGGAACAGCCACTAAAGTTGTTGTTTTTGACAGAAAAGATGATGTTGGTGATGAATCCAATAAAACAGATGTTTGTGTGGTTATTTCTGAAAAAACTGATAATTGTGCCGATGAATCAACTAGAGCAGATATTGGTGTTGTTGTTTCTGAAGTAACAGGTGACTTTGTTGATGACTCAACTGGAAAAGATGATCCTGTCGTTGTTTCTGTCACCACAGCTGACGGTGTTGTTATTTTTAAAACAGCAAGAGATGTTGTTTTTGAATCAACTGGAACGGATATTGGTGTGGTTTTTTGTGTAACTAAAGGTGATGGAGTAGTTGAATTTGATGGAATATGTGTCGACGTTTTTGTTTCTGACACCGCAGCTGATGGCGTTGTTGAGTCAGCTGGAACAGACTTTGGTGTTATTGTACCTGTCATCATGGCGGATGATGTTGTTGAAACAACTGGGATTGGTGATGCTGTTGTTTCTGGCACTGCAGGTGATGGTGAAGTTGAATTTGATGGAACAGATGTTTGTGTTTTGATTTTTGAAACGTTCATCGGTATTGTTGAATTTACAGAAAGGGATGTTAGAGTTGTTGTTGAAGGAGTTGTCGAATCTGGTTGTGTAAATGATGGGGTCATTGTTCCTGAAGCCACAGCTAATGGTGATGTTGAATTGGATGTTTGTCTTGTTGTTTGTTGCTTGACAGAAGGATTATTTGTTGACGTTGTTGAACCAGGCACAATAGCCGAAATTGTTGTTGAATTAATTGGTAGAGGTATTGGTGTTGTTGTTCCTGGCAAAACAGGTGGTGATGTAGTTGCGTCATCTGAACCAGATGTTGACGTTGTTATGTTAGGCATAACAGCTGATGGTGTTGTTGAGGCTGCTGGAACAGAGGTCAGTGTTGCAACTTTTGGTACAACAGTTGAAGGTGTTGTTGAATTTACTTGAACAGAAGTTGAGATTGATGTATCCGGCACGGCAGGTGATTGTGTTTTTGAATCAGAAATAATGTAGGTTGTTGTTGTTACTGAAGTTGTCGGGTCAAGTGATGGTGTTGCTGAATCTACTGGGGCAGATGTTTGTGATGTACTTTCTTGCACAACAGGTGATGGTGTTGTCGAATCAACAGGAGAAGATGTTGGTTTGTTTATTTCTGGCACAACAGTTGATGTTGTTAAACCCACTGTAGCAGATGTGGATATTGTTCTTTCTAGGCACAATAGCCGAAATTGTTGTTGAATTAATTGGTAGAGGTATTGGTGTTGTTGTTCGTGGCAAAACAGGTGGTGATGTAGTTGCGTCATCTGGACCAGATGTTGACGTTGTTATGTTAGGCATAACAGCTGATGGTGTTGTTGAGGCTGCTGGAACAGAGGTCAGTGTTGCAACTTTTGGTACAACAGTTGAAGGTGTTGTTGAATTTACTTGAACAGAAGTTGAGATTGATGTATCCGGCACGGCAGGTGATTGTGTTTTTGAATCAGAAATAATGTAGGTTGTTGTTGCTGCTGAAGTTGTCGGGTCAAGTGATGGTGTTGCTGAATCTACTGGGGCAGATGTTTGTGATGTGCTTTCTTGCACAACAGGTGATGGTGTTGTCGAATCAACAGGAGAAGATGTTGGTTTGTTTATTTCTGGCACAACAGTTGATGTTGTTAAACCCACTGTAGCAGATGTGGATATTGTTCTTTCTAGCACAACAGCTGATGATGTTGTTGAATTAACTGAAGCAGGTGTTGTTGATCTTGTTTCTGACGCAGCAGGTAATGGTGTCGTTGAATCTAATGGAACGCTTTTCGGCACAGCTGATGGTGTGGTACCCGAAGGCACAGATGTTGGTGTTGTCGTCTTTGGCACAACATCAGATAATATTGTTGAAGCTGATGAACCTTGTCTTGGTGTGGCTGTTCTTGATAGATAAGGTGATACTGTCTCTGTATTTATTTAAAAAAAAATGTAGATGGTTGTTTTATTTAAGAGAGCGGTTGATTATGTTAGTGTTTTCGGTAGGAGAGGTGAGGGTGAAGCATTTTTCAAAATAGTATATTGTGTTATTTCAACCTGAAAGGACATTTTACGTTGGTTTATTTGTCGTTAACGGTGTTCCATTTGTTGTGGTTTTTGTTTAGCGATTATTTTGTTGTCTGTGATGTACTACCTCAGTCAGGAATATTGAATAAGCCGGATTGATACGGAGATGGAATATTCCTAAGCAAGTGTTCAAAATTAAAGTGAAATAGATGTATCTTTCTTAGTTTAGCAAGAAAACACAACAGCGTTTCTGAATCAGTTCATTAGCAAAACGACAGGTCTGAGAAGCCACCTTGTCCCTTTTCGGCTTTAATCTTAGGTTTAAGTAAATGTTGTTCGACTCTATGAGATGTCTACTCCTTTCCTGTGAAAGTTACCAAAAATATATACTTTGCAAATATCAGTGCTGGAAGTTAATGTTGATCCTCTGATATTAAGAGTCACTTCTTTCACACATAACAAAAATACGAAGGGCCGAAATTCATGCCCTTTTCAATATGGTCTGCCGAAAATGTCCAATATAACAATTTGCATTGATTTACTTATTTATTTTTTATATCTATCATTCTCAAATCAAGATCGTCATAGTGCATTATTCGAGTTTCGTGTTGTTTGCAATCAAAACAACCTAGCAGTCGCCAATATCAATAACATCATTTATGACTTGGGTTTTTTCTCAGAGCTATCAGTTAGGACAACCACGCCTTGATATTTTACAATATTTCTGAAATAAAAGGTTACAAATCTACTTTCATGGAATCGATCGCTTAACTCGACAAAAGCAAAGTCTTTATATATCTAAAGAATGATCTGAGCGATCCCTACAGTTCCACAGTGAGAATTATTATAATTGTTATCCAGGACAAGGAAAGCGGAAGAAACGGTAAAATGAAAGGTTGAACAGTTTTTAAAAACATTGAACTACCTCATGATTAATTTGGATTTCATAACCTTCAAAATGTTAGCTATAGAATAATTAACCCATCGAAGTAAACATCTTAAGAACAAAGCCAAAAAAAGGCTACGAATTCGTAGGTTGAACCGTGATTTTAATATTCTATATGGAAAAAAATAATTTGGTTTCCAAATACTCAGACTCTGTGGAAATGCTATCTAGTTGTACTAAGTTACCTTCGGTGACTAGGTATTCTAAAGGTCTTAAGTTGGAGTAATGTGTAAGGTGTAAGTCTGAAACATAAAAAATACCAACTCAACGTCAAATATACCCACGGAATATACCACGTGGAAAATCGTGCATTTTCACTAAAAATAAAGAATGAAATAAAACTTTTCATCATTCTCGGACGAGTCCCTTTTTCCAACAGGCACATTATATTTTGTTTTTTTAATTATTGATAGGTTATGATGTTACGTAATGCAAAACGAAGTTCTTCTTTTCACGGCGTTATCAATTACTTTCACTTACCTATCTGAGCCCAGGATTGCGTTGATAAAAATGCTATCTGTAAAGCCACTACAAACAGAAGATCGAAACGCATTATGAAAATGTTTAAGGCTCCTTAAGCCTTGTGGCCAGGGTAAAAAATTTCTAATTTGAAATGTCTGAAAAATAGCTTTAGAAATTCATAAAGCTGTGGTTCTCATCAAAGCTAACCCTATAGTGTCACCCACTTCTCTTACCATTAGCCTTTTTATAACGTTGTTTTTGCGTGCACGGATCTGGTCGCATATATCGGTTTGTTTGTAACTTCCATGGTAATTTACCTTGTTTTCATTGAGTGCTGCTCTGTATTATTTACAGCATCAAGTGGATATTGTATTCCTGGTTGTTAATTGTATATCAGTGTATTTTCTGTTTAATATTATGAACGCGAATCGACTGTAAATGAAAAGTGATTTTCTCTTGTTGTGTTTGGTCGACTAAAAAGATACCAACATTGTCCAAAAGCACACAGGTTTTCTAGCTCTTCAAGGTTTAACTGAGTGCCATATGGCGCGCTTGTATCCAGTACATCACGGTTACTCATGGTGTAGTCTGTGCTCCAGTATTAATGTCTAATGGTTATAAAGGGTCGACTGAGTTTGATATTGTTGTTTCCCGCATTCTTCGCGGTTTTCTTTAATATAATCTCGTAAGCCACTTTAAAGATTCATCTACTATTGCCAATTGTATTTGAAATCGTATATCTAAAACCAGTATTTCAAAAACTTACTCTCCAAAATAGTATTCATCTTTACAGTGAGAGGTAGGAGTGATGCTACCACTTCCATGCATAACTCACGTCTATTAATAGATGAGCTCAAGTTTCTAAAAGCTAAAAGTACATGGGAATTAAGAGCCAATATACAGCGATGAAATACAGACAAGCTATGACTGATGCAATGAGCTAGAGAGAATAACTTTGAGGCTATGTGTCATAATTATATCTGAAGTACAAGGACAGACGTTATAAAATTACTCAAAAGGTATAGGCTGAGACATCACTGTCAAATGTCCCCAAAATTTTATTCCTGCTATTAAAAAAAAAAAAATTCATATTTGCGCGTTTTTACCCCGGGTTAGTAAAGATTAAAATTATCCCAAATTTCCAATTTTCCGCCAGGCACAAGTTATCGTTTCCATGCATGGCTCACGTATAATAATAAATGAGCTCAAGTTTCTAAAGCCAATTGAATGACAATATACATCGGTGACATGCAGACAAGACATGACTAGTACAATGACCGAGAGAATACAAATTTCAGCCAACTACAATACCTATATCTGGTGCACGGAAACAGAGATTTAAGTATAGTCAAATGGTATAGGCTGGGACAACGTTCTAAATGTTCCAAAAATTTCATTCTTGTAAATAAGTCCACTGCACTGCCCCAAATTTCAGTTTTCCACCAGGCACAAGCGAAAGAGAAAGTGGAAGTGATTGTTGATACATGTATCAGAATAATTGTAAAGTTTGAAAAAAAAAAATTGAGCCAATTTGTCTAAGTTCGTTTTTGGAGCACAAAAAGCAGCGATGGATCTGTCATTAAATAGAATAATAATACTAGTGAAAAAATTTGTTGCTCAAAGATAAAACACAACGACCAAAAGGTCTATTTTTTACCACCTGGTTTTCTCAGTGTGATTTATTACAAACAACATTCACTCGTCATTCAGAGCATTGAGACGTACGGTATTTCAGGGGGGTCAAGTATGGGGCCTTCCCAAGAGACCAGCCTTATCAGTAATTATCATCTGTTACCAAGATTATTGTCATAGCAACCATTAGATCTCATTACAACCAGAGCATAAAAAAAAACACGAGGAAAGAGGGAAGGGGTGGAAATTGGTAATAATCTTCAGGGTCCACCCCACCCCCCTCCCCCCACCCATCCTGTTCTACTACACGATTAAGACATCAATCTTAAAGTTTCTTTACAAGAAGACAAATTTATTACTGTTGAAGCTAATTCCTTTATGTCTACAGGTTTTCCTTTGATTTTTCAAAGCTAAAACAATCCCAAATGTATGTAACTGTTGGTACAATAAATCTATGAAAGTTTTCCTTTGAGGAATTCAAGTACACAAACACTATCTGAGTCCAATATAGCTTATATTTACTCCAATAAAATAGAAATACAAAATAACAAAACTCCCAAAACAGGTCTAGACAGATATATTCTAGCCCAAGCCAAATAAGAACTAACATTTCAACACTTTCTTAGGTTGATTTTCAGTTGTCACAAGAGGTCTAATAGTCTGTCTCCTATCAGGAAGAATCAGTTTTCTTACTCCTGCTCAGATTAAATGTATTCAAAATGCAGGAAGTACTGAATATTGCATTCAATCATACGAGAGAACAAACCTACCGGTAGTTATGTTGTTATCAAAAACAGGCAAAGCACGCAAATCCCAAGCAAATGCTCCAGAAAGGTGAACTTTGACTTTCCATTTTCAGAAAAAAGTAAAGTCCAGTCTATGAAATTCCTTTCAACACTCCACCCTTCACTCTCTATATATTTTGTTTTGTTGCTTTTCGTGACAGATGTTAGCACCTCTAATTAAGGTAGCGTCCCTAGTTACATGTAATAAGAGGCACAAGCCAGTGCCATATGTTTTTTTTTCTTACCTTATGGGACACACAGTGTATTCTGCTACAAATGCTCCTCCCAACTCAAGTATGGAGAGTTTACTTAAGGATTACCTTGAGAATGCCAGACTTACTTGGCAGTACCTTCAAATGAAGCATTACATATTATAGAGACATCACTCTTTAGGTAACCATGTAATATTGATTTATCTTTCCTGTGCTAATATGACACTGCTAAGTGTTTTAGCTGTGTCAGTCAATTCCTACACCTGACAAAGGGCTTCCCCCTTGAAACTTCAGCTTTTGGGACTCTTTACAGTGGCAAACAACTTACATTATGATACACAAATTTTAAATAAAAGCAAATTATTTTAGTGTATCCCCATTGACACAGAATCACAGTTTCTTTAGAAACTTACCCTCTTTGCACATCATTATGGTCTTGGCAATTATATATGCTATCACTGTATCTATGCATGCTATTTAACAATCACAGCATCTTCAGAAACAACTAAGTACCTTATTTTTAGTCACATAGTACAAGTTTATGTAACGTCTTAATGCAATAAATAATGCCTTTCCTGGTGATAATATTCAAGTGAACCAGGAGTCTGCATCTTTATATCATGCAGAATACAGAAAAATTCAACCACACAACAAAGTAAAAGGCATTTTTAAAGTATCGTTAAAAAAATGTGATTAATATTCAAAGTTACATGGATACACGAGAAAAGACCAAACTTGAGTATGGAAATCTTGGAAACAGTCACTCAAAGCTACTAGAGTTTCCTGAGGATTTTCACTAATCTAACATAAGCCTCATTGACTCCTGTTACATGAACTCTTTACACCTTAACATCAGTTTGCATCTTCTCCATACTGTTTTCTAAAAATTTTTCTAAGGAGCTGCTGAGGAGAATTTGTTTTAACAATCAAGAGCTTCTCAAGTTGATGATCACTTCCTTTATCCATGTAAACTTAATGCTTGATTCGGGGGTGACATTGTAAAGAGAAGTAAACTACCAGTCAATTTTCAAGGTTAAAGGGTAAAAATATTTTTTATTTCCCTTAGTAGTTAACCCTTTAACTCCCATGAGTGACCAAGACAGAATTTCTCCTTACAATATCAATACAAAATCAAGTAGACAAGTGATGAAAATAAAGAAAAATATTAATTGGAGAATTATAAGTTGATCTAATATCAAATTCTCCAAACTAACATCACAAGAACTATATGGCAGACAGTGGGAGTTAAAGGGGTTAAGTTTGCAGGGCTCTATCATTTATTAGCACAAGTAATGAAATGATTTCCCAAGTGAGCTGCAAATAAAGTGTTTAAAGAAAAAGAAATCCTTAAAAAATGTCAAGCTGATCTAACCTAAAACAATTAATGTGTTATTGAAAGCTTAACCCTTTAACACCCAGAAGTGATTAGCATGTAACTTCTCTCTATTATATTTACACATCATCCAGCAAACAGGTAATGAGAATACTCAAACTTATCGGGTTGAAGTTTTCATCTTGATCCAACAAGAAATTCTCTTTACTAGTTTATAAGGAAATGTGTAGCAGTTAGAGGGAAGATTACAAATCAGATCTAGGGAGTTAAGGGATTATGCAAACTCAGCCATGAAGCAATTTCTCAAGAGGGCTTCAATGGTAATCTGGAAATGCTCTGTTTTTGAGCAACAACCCACCATGACTGGTTCAAACTATTTGTTCTATGTACTAAACTAATAAATTGGGCAACTGGTTAAATTAATTATCTTTATCTAAAGTTTTCACTTTGCAGTCACTTCCATTTTTTGTTTTGCCACCCAATCAAAAAGCACTTCCATATACTCACTTCTGACTTGTCATGGCCTCAAGCTGTCGGCTGTAGGCCTTGGTAGGGAACAGAGGAACCATTTGTCTTCTTAAAGCAGCAGTGGCCCTTGGATCGGCAAAACAGAGTACCAAGGAGGCCAACACTCATTGCAATGATGAGCATCGGCCACAAAATGCAATGCAAAATCTTCATCTTATCACTTTTCACTGAAGATCTTGTTAAAAACACCTCATCAAGTTTCTTTTGATTATAGAAACAGGTGTAAGTATCATGAACTCGGCCATACTTGTTTTCGAAGCTTGATACACTTTCGACATTTCCATAAGTATTACATGGCTGAGTGCTACACTGTAACAAAAATATAACAATAATATTATACAATGGCCAAAAAATGACAAAGTCTATCTGTAAAACTACATATTTTAGTATTTTTCTGCAACTGAAGGATTGTAATGCGACCTACATTGTAAGAAGTCTATGTAGAAATTATGTTTTGTAAATTAAAATTATCATTATTCCTACAAATAAAAAAAATGTTTGGGAACAAAAGTAGAAAATAAGTTTACAATGCCATGTAGTTCACCATAAAACACATCTTCCCTTAAGAGTGACTGGCATCTAATTTCTCCTTACAATATCACCCTTGAATCACACATTAAAGTTATGACAATAAAGGAAATGATCACCAGCTAAAGAAGCTCTTGATTGTTAAACAAATTCTCTTGTTAGCACCTTAGGAAATGTATAGAGAACAGTAAAGAGAAAATGCATAATGATGATAGGGTGTAAAAGGTTAAATGTTATTCAATCACAGAAAACACAGTGATCCTTAGTACAGGGAGAGAAAGGGTGAAAACAAGGGTACTAATAATGGTAATAGGACCAAGTGAAGTCCAATTTGGTCTGTAATCACACAAGTACTTAACAAAATTGAATGACTGTGAAGCAGGAGTCTGATTTGTTAATTACGAGTATGATTACAGACAGAATTGGACAACACAAATTCCTGTTACTAATTAATCAAAACTATGACAAAATTTGAGAAAGAAACTAGACATTGGTTATATGTTTTCATAAAAAAAAAACTGTTAACTCAGCGAATTGCAAGACAACAGGCCATGCACATGATGGGTTCTGTCCACTTACACAGGTATGATGTGTTAACTGTCCCTGTAACTGTCCTATTACACTGTCCAATTACAAGCATGATGCACACACCATCCAGTTAGTGCTCAAATCAGGCTGGTGATGACCAATCACGTTTGAGAATTTTGTTATAGTTTTGATTAGTAATAAAACTGTTATGTTAGTCCACTAAAACCTTTTCAAAGGTGATGTGTGTGAACAATTTTGTCACTAATTGAAGTGATAAGCTATATGAAATGTGCACTGAAAGTAAACACATGAAGGTTTTCCTTCGAACAACTAAACGTCCGGTAGTCTAATATTCGTCCATATTTCTCTTTGAAAAATACCAATTTCTATTGGAAATATTTCGTCTTCATTTAGAATCCTCAAGCGCTTCTAGAAAGTGAAAAATTTGAACGTTGTCCAAAGACGATTCTAGAAGGTTTCGAGTACTGCGTGTTACTCAGCCGAAAATATACTTAATAAAAACTAAAAATTGTTTACTAAAAAGTCACCTCTCACCTTGTTTTTGCTGTCGTAAACATTTTCATACAGATAAGCAATGTGTTCCTCACCGCTAGCGTGGTAGCCCACTCTTATCTCGAGACAAGGGTAAGACGAAGAACAGTACCGACCACAACTACAACTTTTATCCTCTCCTGTCATTTCACTAGAGGTGACAGTGCACACGGCTTTCTTCAGCTTCATGTCGTTCATGGTGGGATGGACGATAAGGACACCAAGCACAATAAGTAATACCAAACCTACCAGAAAGAACGAAACGCCGAGCCGGGTGAGACGGTAGGCACAGCTTCGCCGAGGGTACCTACGACTGATGACCACCGTGTTGGCGATCCCTTGTTGGATCGTTATCTCCTGCTGCCGACGATGATTAACTTCTCCACTGACGACATTAGGACCAGGATAATATTGTCTGGGATACCCAGTATTGTACAGATGAAATGCACCCGGCTGTTGGGAATAGGACGGTTGCTGTTGACCCTGTTGAGCGCTTCCTGCGAAGTTGGATCCAGGTTGAGTCGGCCATTGTTGTTGTATTGTGGGATTCTGAATTACTTGTGGGTTTTCCTCTCTATACTGTGGCACTTGAGTGTATGGCGGTGGAGGTTCCATTCCAGTTCCACGTTGTCCTCCGTTAGATTCGTCATTTGAGTGAACAACAGTCCCAACCAGCCTAGATTCCTTCTGGGCGTCCATGTTAAGGTTTGTCAGCAATGGCGTCTCGCAGAAATTTTTTTCAAGATCACTTTCCAAAGGAGCGTAGACACCAGGCTCAGTTAGGTAACCAAGCCTTCCAGGGATTTGTTAACAATTCTACACTCACCTCCCCCGACTGGTTGAAGTGCGATTGGAGGGGGACAGGGAAGGGGACATTTTTGTTACTTGGGCGAGAAAAAATGAATGGGAAGTTATCTGTTAACCTTTTTTTTTTTTTTTTAATTTTCGCGGGAAAGAATATTATCTCGCTGCGCTCCGTTCAAATACGAATCTTCTGCCTTTGGCTAAAATACGCTTTCTTCGTGAATTCTAAACACTACTCACGGTCAAATGGAACCAAAGGGAATTTCAAACCTAGAAAATACTTGCTTCTCGATAGTGTCTTACAAGCTCTGGTCTCAGTGACATGTTTTTCCGAAGGACTCGCTGGATTGCAGCACAATCGCGAGAAGTGCACCTCGTCGAGTACAGGTCTTGAAAATGTATTCAATGTTAAAAAAAAATCCCAGCAAGCAAACAACATTAACCTTTCGGTGAACTGCGTAATTGAATCAAGTACTTTTTCTGGACCGCAAAATTCGTCATAAGTGTAGTAATCCAATTATTTATTCTGGAAATTAAGCTTATTTCGACTTAATGAAGCAATTGGTATCAATCATATTAAAATACGTATTTGACAACTTGATATTCTTGTTAGAACGTCATTGGAAGTTGTACCTCTAAAGAAGCTACGAGTAAAATCTGCACGTCTTAGTCATTTGCTTGATTATTTTTTGACGCTGTTGTGTTGCGCATTCATCTGAAGTGTGCTTGTATGAGTGTTCAGGGTGCAAAGAGTGAAAACGGTATGCAAACCTAATAATTTCGACCCCTCCACCCCTCCCAGCCCCACCGTCTACAAAAATGAGTAGTTTCTGGACCATATTGACTTGAAATTTTACACTTGGTAATTCCTAAATTGACTGATGCCTCACACAAGAGAAAATTATTTTCATATCATAACTGTGCACCACTGGGGCCTTGCATTAATAAAAAGGCTATCTGGTATGTTCTACTAATTACTCTAGGTCAGATGCGTTTGCAACAAAGGATGGAAAAATGAATTATTATTGTTATTGATATTATTATCATTACTATCAATGTGTTACATACTCTTAACCAAATTTGAAACTTTACCACTCCCCTTCCCCAAAGCAGCTACATGTGTACAATATAGGACTTTTTAAAAGTGCTCACTGTTTAATGCCTTAAGGCTTGCTGGTTTGGCAATAAATGGAAAAGTAATAAAAAAATACATTCAGTTGGATTTAAATGACTATAATATTTATATATCAATTCTATCTGAGCAATGGCGCGGGATATAGAAAACAAGACATTGATTGCATTATATAAGGTGGCTTGATCCAAATGAGCCAAGAAAGCTTTTTTTTTTGTTTTATGCCTAATCATAAAAAAGCCCCATATTCTGTAATTGTAAGTCAAATTCAGTACTCTAACTATATTCAATAGACCTTACTGCAGTTTTCAACACCACCTTGATGGGTTGGTGGGTAAGCGTGACCTTGCAGTATTTGCATGAGAATTCAATGTCAAATAATTTTTGTGAAAATTCTGTTATGATGAAAATATCAGTAATGCAGCAGTTGTACACGTTACAGGAAAAGGATTCTTCTCTAAAAAAAGACTCTTCTTGCAGACTAAAAATTTCCTGAAAAAAAATAACAGACAGTGCATGGAAAATCTATTACAAACAACAGGGTAAATTCAAGGACAGGTACAGCCATAGCCACTATGAAGTAAGCATCCCTACCACTCCCGAAATGGATTATAAGTTGTCTCAGATGTCCAGGCAGTCCAGGGAACAATTTAAACATTAACTCAGTTTTGTGAAATCAGATTAATTGTTGCTAAGTGCATTATTTCATGACAACATACTTCAACAAGTTAGGTATACATATAGTATATACCACAAAAGCAAATGATGTCTGGTGTTATCACTAATTGAGATATGAGATCAAGAAAGTATAAGGTTATTGATAAAGAGTTAAATTTTAGCCGAAAGCTTTCCGAGTTATTATTTTGACAATTTACTGTACGTTGTAAAATCACAAAGCAAAACACTAAAATACTTACTTACTTACCTTTCGGTCTCAAAACGTTCTTCTCTTTGCTGCTTTAAAAATTTGAGCTTGTGTTTACTACACACCGAAGTTCCTTGTCTTCTCCAGTGTGATAAAAAAGGTCACGCAAGCAAGAAAAGGCTTGGGCACAAATTCGGTAGGCTTGGCTACAGAAAGTGATCCCAAAAAAAATTTTTGCTGGCGTTCTCACAAGATCCTTGAGAGTACAACGTAGTTCTCAGGGTTTTTCTCTCTTCCCCCCTAAAGAAATACGAGAGAAGACCCTGGGAACGAGGTTGTGTTTAAGCGTATTTCTCGCGCGCCCGGAAACCGTCACGTAAAGCATCCGAAGAAGGTTTCGGTTTTACTGGAACACACCAAAAATTTCGCACCCTAGAAAAACACGTAATTTTTTTTTCCCGAAAACTGTTTGCGCATGTCTTGATCTGAGATGTATCTGCCGTCGGGGCTGTCTGAATCATACCAGTACAATCGAGAAGATACAAGACGATACATGGTAAGAACATCGATAGGGAATATAAAAAAAACGACATTTTTGAAAGACATTGGTCATCAGATGAGAGATTTTCATAGTCGGTGGCTTGATTTGAGAACAAACTTTAGCGTGACATGTGGCGCGAATTTCCTCAGAGCGTGAAGACGTAGGTGAGCATGTTGAATTAAATAAACAATTGCAATATCCTCCATTTAGCGCGAAAATAGGCACTGATACTTTTCGCGGACGTTATCTGTTCTGACAAGCGAACAGTTTTTCGAGAACAAAGCTCCAGGGACCAGTTGTTCGAAGGCCGATTAGCACTAGCCTGGGGTTAAATATTAATCCAGCTTTCTTTATTTCTTTGTTCAAAAATCCTTTTTAAGGAAAAATCTTCCCTATTACTTTTAGGGAATCCAATGATGAAATTGCAAGCAAAAATATTTGAACTGAACTTTCTCTTAAAGCTTTCAGACCTAAAATCAAATTTCACACTAACCCTGGGTTATCTTAACCCAGCTTTGAACAACCCGGGCCAGAAAAATTGTAAGCTGTGAGGGATTAGGACTTCTCCGAATACAAAACAAACACTTATACGCATCCTTTATCAGGTCTGTAGCTGTTTGCGATCATTATGATACAGGAAATCCCCATTTATTGCAACGCAGAACTAGTCTGTATCCATACCTTTCACGGCTAAGCGGTTGTAGGGATCCCATTGTCATTTTAGTTACAGTTACACAGTAGGATCTAGGTACGAGATTAACAACAGCATTGACTCTATTGAGCGACTTTCGATTGAAATAAATGTAAGCTTCTGTTCCATTGGGGGACCAGTACGAGAGAAGTGATACCGCGCTGACAAATTTAATTTTAGGCTACCATGGGAGGATATTTGTACAGTACTATGGAAAATGATCCCAATGAATATCAAAAATAATATTTACAAATGTAAATTACATTACAATATCCTGACTCAACACATTGAGACGACGTCCGTGCAGTCGGAACTTAGGGTGTCGGGGGGGAAAAAGACGGTACTCTATTTGCAAGGCGAAAGCAAGGATGAAAAAGCTGAGCAGCGGGGAATTTCGGTTTATTCTTCTCCCGACTCAGTGTTTGTATCTGTTGCAGGTTCGAGATTTCTATTACTTTCCAGTCATCTAGCGTGGAAGAAAATTTTAGATCTCTTGATTTTCTGATTTTTTATTATTACTGATTGGAAAACCTCTTGAATTGCTTCCTTACTCGGCTAAAAGATAAATTAATTATTTCCGTGTCGTATTTATTTACTGGTTATTCGCAGACTGAGCAAACCACAAAATTAATGAAAACACTAAACATTCAAAGAGGAAAGAAAAATATAAAAAAAATAAGTAGTATAAGTAAAAAAGGTAAAACTGAAAATTTTGAAGCGTAAAAAAAACATGACACAAGAATTATACAGTAATTACTTTCTTTTTCCGTTTCTGTAGAAATCTTTGATAATAACATATTTATATTTCGAAAATCTGAAATAAAGAGAATTTGAACAGCTTTGTACTTCCACCCACTTCAACATACATGCCTTTACACATCACGACAAATGGAGTAGAACACAATCAGCCATATTCATGTTCCATCATCCCGAGAGTATTTGTACAGCTTGGCGCTTCCACGCACTTCAGCATCGATTTCATTCTCACGTCTGCGATGACTACCTCTACAGATCACGATAAATGAAGTCGAACACAACCAGACATATATTCATGTTCCATTGTTCCGGCGAATTAACAAACTGAGTTGCAGATTACTTTGCATAGTTCTCAATTGGTGGTGAGCTCTGTGTTGCGAGGGTTTCGACTCGAAAACGAAGTTAAATCCACTTGCAAATTTTGCCGTCTTGAGTTTCTTTTCCTTAACGAAAACATCTTTCCATATTCTCTTCTGAAACTCCTGTTTAGGAAACCGTATATAAAAGGATTAATGGCTCCTGACAAATTTCCCAGAATTAGGTAAAAAACATAGACCTGTCTCGGAAGAGACACTTCACCCCGGAACGTGTCTACAAAATCTATGACCGCAATCGGTGTCCAACAGGCCAAAAATCCTATCACGGTGATGAACAGAATCTTTGTAACTCTGATATCTGCATGAGTTATGTTGTCCACAGCCATAGCACACGATCGCAAATTTTGAACTGTTCTCCGGTGAATACGCATTTGTCTGAAGACAAGAGCATAGCATATGCTTAAAGTGAAAGTAGGCACGCCGACGTAGAAATACACGATGAAGTTTGGAAGGGAAATCTCACCTGTCTGAAAGCAAAACAACTTTCCGGGATGAAAGACATAACGTCGACCCGAAAGTAAATAAGGTAATGGTTCCAAGCAAGCTAGGCCGACTCCAAATGCTATCATAGTTAAGGTTTTCCACTTTGTAAAAATTTGCCGATAATGTTTCGTTAGGACCATTCGGTAAAATCGATTGATCGCGGTCAGGGTTAAGGTTAGCAAAGAGGCGCAAGCTAAAATTATGACGAAAAATCCTTGACTTTGGCAAACGCTATCATTAAATGGCCAGTAACCAACGATGGCAACAGCTATAGAATACGGAGCACACAGTAAAGGTAAAAGAATATCAGAGATCGCCAGAGACACAATGAAGTAGTTAGGAATCGTTCGCAGTCTTGAGTTTCTGTACACTGCCAGAAGAACACAGGAGTTTCCAACGACTGCCACCGAAATTGTTAACAGATAGAAAAACGTTTCAAATATCACAACCTTCTGATCTCGGTTTAGAAGTTCTTTTGCCAAGTTTTCGATTCCTTTCAGCCGCATCGTCGTCCTCTAACACAGGAAGAAAATTCTGTTTAACGATGACTGTGATTGATGGACACCAACTAGCTTTAGGCTCGCACTTAAGCTAGCATCTAATGACGAAAAGTGGCATGAAACAGTATGAGAAACGTTTTGGAACGTTGCCCACCGCACTTCCTTTGTCCATTTCGCTTTCGTAACACTTTCTGCTTACGTAAATCCCTTCCCTTCACGATCTCGCGAGGCTCTCGCTCCGTCTGTATTGGGAAGGTTTCACGGTTCCCTATCTTCGGCTACTGCAGATAGCACAAGCCTCGCAATCGGCCATGATCATCCTCGCCACATACGATAATTTTTAGAGTCAGGCTGTCTTTTCCCCATTTGAACCACTGAAAGTAACTTTTGAAATAGCAGGGACTCGAGATTTTATCCGATGTAAAATTACAGAGACACACAGCCCGGCTCAAGCCGCATCTGGGGATGCGCCCCTTTCATTACCTGGCCGTTGGAGGTCTGCGTACGAGATAAAAGGGAGTTTAAGACATCTGTCGGAAAAGGATACTCTGTTAGAACGTTAAGGGTTATAAACAACTGAAAACATGCTGACGAGGAGGCACTGGAAACCATAGTGAGGAAACCTTTCTTTATAATTTTAGTTTTAATATACGACCGCTTTGCAGCTACAACTCTGAGTAATTTGTGAAATTACCTAAACGATACGCGCCTATAAGCCCAATGTGGAGTTTCTTTCTTTTATTTGGTGTAACTCTGAAAGTTGACGATCATTTGTCAGAGCAGACCTGAAGCAGACTTGGTCAATGTCAACTTTATCTGTGCGATATCAGGGATCGATAGCTGCACAGAAAGAAATTTAAAAAAAAAGAAGGCAAAAGGATGCAGCTTTAAAATCAGGGGTAACTTCTTAAGACAGAGGAAAATCTCTGAGATGTGATCCGTATGATAATAAAAGGTTAAAGGCACTTGAAAATCGAAAACAGATTGAAACAATAACCTAACTATATGCTTGATTCAACCACACATTAATACGATAGCTAATCTTTCATACAATTTATGATAAAATGTTTATGATTAGGCCATTGACGAAAGATCTTGATATGGAACAGAACTGGAGGATTCATTCTGCTTCCTGTAACGGCAGTGTCCTTTATCTCGGCAAAACCCTATACCCAGAAAGACGATGCCGATACCCAAAACTAGCCCTGGCCACAAGAAGGAATGCATCAACTTCATGCCATCACTCTTCAAAAGTCTTTTTGTAAAAGCTTCGTTGAGATTTTTGGGATTGTAGTAACAAGTGTACGTGTCGTTAACTCCACCATAATTAATCCAAAACACTGTCACATTTCCATCATTATTGACGTCGAGGCAGTCACACGGCTGAGTGCTGCACTAAAAATTTAAAAAATAAAAAATAATAAAAGGCATAAGTTTCTTGAAAAGTACAAAATAATTATCAGGAAGGTGGAGTTTGGGTCTAGGTTCGAAATGGTTCCCAGGACTTTCCGACGTTCTTCAGCCCAAATGCAAATGAAAAACAAAACTAGCTACTGAAATGACATGTGCAATGATATAACTCTTAAACAAAGGCGTTAAAAAAAAAAAAAGCGTTAGTTATGTGAAGTTCAGCGAAACTGATTTGATACCTATGTAAATAATGTCTTCATTCATTATCAGATCAAATTGTAGTGTTCCAACTGCGCATGCTCTTCTGTTATGGTTTTTTTTTTTTCGGCGCGCTGTCATTGGTGCATTTTGACCTTCATCTTTATTAAAAGCCACTTATTTAGAAGTGGCCCTTAGGCTGAATTACAATTATTATTCAAATATGAAGTGAAATATTGTCATTAACACGGACAATTGATGACTAATTCTGTTTGCTACCTTTGCGCGATCTTCCCAAATCAACGTATTACTACGTAGACATACATTTCCTGACACGAAGAACATTTCATGAAATCCCGCCGTATTTTCAGACCTTACCTTATTTTTCTCCTTGTAACTATTTTCATACAGATAGGCTGTGTGCTCTTCACCGTTCGCGTACAAGGCAACTTCTATCAGAAGGCAAGGGTAGGACGACTTAGACGACATGAAAGAGGGCACGGTGTTCGTGCAACTACAATTCATCCTTTCGCTTGCTACTCCAGTGGATAAGACTCTACACTCGGACGTTTTCAGTTCCATGTCGTACACTGCGAAACGTGCAACTGTGAGACCAAGCACTATCGCGGCCACAACACTAATTAGCGACAAAAAAATCCCTAACCCTGTAAAATCAAGGCCAGTTCTATGTTTTTGAGACCTCTCCGAGACCTTCTCGTGTTCCATTTTAAGCCACAATTTCTTCAGCTTGAGCGCGTTGCAATGCAAGATTTCTGAATAGCTATGTAAGAAAAGAAAAGATATAAAAACCGTCGAAACTGTCAGATTGAACCAATCCCCGAAAACCGGAAAAGGAAACCACGATCAGAATAATTATTTCAAGTCACGTTTTGTCACGGCAGCTGCACTTAAAGCATGAATGATCACAAAGCGTTCATGCTACAGATAGCCAGTTAGTATCAGGAGTAAAATAGGCTGCAAAAGTAAAAATTAAATATACAACTAACCAAATAAATACCAAACAAGTGAAAAAAAAAAGAAACAAATTGAAAACTTTTAAATACAAGAACAAAAGAACAAAGAAACGGCCCTAATGATGTCGGTGTTAACAAGAGTTTTAAGCGGTTTTCGGCTCCTCTTTTAATCACGATTTGGGTCAAAGATTTAGTTCTATAGTATTTGGAGACAAATTCGCCTTTACCCTATTTTGATGACTTTCCAAAACTCCCCGATATCATCGGCCCTTCCTGACAGATTTGGTACCAGAAAAAACGTTCTCAGAACACTTAAGTTCCTTATGACGGCGAACATTAATGATATCAAAACACGGAAAATTATAGTGTTGCCCAAGTGTTTATTGTCTTCGATATGACGTCATTTGGATCGACGTTCTCCTTTGGACGAGTAACTATCACGTACCATCAGTAATGTCATCCATTCATGAACCTTAGACAAGATAAGATGTTAAAAGATATAGCTATCCTTGAAATAAACCCAATTAATTATTTTTACCATTGCTACCATCTTCAATTGAGAGAAGTCTTTTTTTTAAGTTCATGAATAAACATCTACTCTACTTTAAAAGGGTTATCAAGGGAATTGTACGGGAGAGTGAAGGGAAAACAGTGAAAGGTGGCACGTTTTAACAAAGAGATTCCTTGTTGCCGCGCGACTGTTCAGGAAAAGATGCGACAAGTAAAGTGATATGACGTCAAAATGCGGTAAGGACATGCAGGTGGCATACGAGGGGCAGCCGAGTGTGTCCATGATGTTCTTACCATGCATATTGCGCTAGAAATTAAGACAAACACAATCAATAAAAATTAGTACATCAACGGCAGTCTTTCCTGGAACTGGTTTTATTACATCAAGTTAACAGTAGCAACGAAATTCACAACTATCAGTATACTTAGTGATCACGTAAAAACGTTTGATTTTTAAAAGAAAATCTGGTCTCCCACGCAAAAACAATCAAACTAACAAACAAATTAAAAACACCACCAACAACATCAACAACAAACATATCAACAAAAAAGCCAACCTAGAGTAAAAAAATAACAATTTCCTTTTCCTCTAAGGCAGCTGGAGAGGATTGCGTCTTTTCATCCCAAAAATGACAAATACCCTTAGCTTGCTGAAATATTTATCAAATTGTCGATCACACTGAAATTCTAAGGAAGCGATGTAAACAGCGGCAGCTTTACTTTCTGACCAGAATTCCTTTTTCGTAGAGCAACGTGACCAGGTCAATCTGAAGAACGAAAAAAAGGCAAAACACGAGAAAAAGAATATCAATAAATGTGTGAGCTAATTAGCAAATTGAAATGTTCAAATGTAAACTGCAAGGAAAAGAGGAGAAAATTTTAAATTTACCTTGTAATTCGTATCATCATGAGGCAGGTCTTTCACTGCAATGTAATCAGGGTAACTCTGTAGAATGCTCTCTATTATTGGACCAGCCTGAAAAGCAAAGTGCGTAACAAATGAACAAATAATAATAGTGATACTAATAGCTAAAAATAGCAATTTTCAAAAGAGTGTCGAAAGTAATCCAGGATTGCATTGGTTTTGTTTTACTTCCCGCTGTTACTGGTCCAGAAAACTCGCGCCACTTTCTAAACCAATCAGATGTATAACTAAAACCAAGCAGCCCGCGTTTTCCCGTTTTCAGAAAACTCGCGCCACTTTCTCAACCAATCAGATGTAAAACTAAAACCAAGCAGCCCGCGTTTTCCCGCGCTTCAGGCAGTATGGGTGTTTTTACTTTGAGTTTTCATTAGCTCTTAAAGGTATGTTCCTTTCATCTAATTGGCTGATGTGATTACTTTGGTTTTGATTTTAACGACACCCAACCAAAAAGCGTTCCAACAATGATAACTTTAACACAAGCAGCACGGCACGGTGCTTTGAAAACATATGCCTTTCTTGGTCAAGCTCAATCAACTGAGTAACTGAAACTGGAAAAAACTTAAGGTCAAAATTAAAAAGTTTTGCTTTTCCGGACTTTGACCTCCTCCTCCAAATTTTCACGGATTCAATAAAACTTTCCTTGTAAATATTGTAATACTCGTGTTACACCAACTGTTTCTTTCTTTTTGCATACCCGGTCTTTGACTGCTGTGTTGATGCTGTGTTGACAGAAGTAAGCATACACTTGAAATTATTACCTCTAAACCAAACTCCAAGCTGTCTAACTCAGTCTCGTGATAGACTCTAGAATTCTGTTGTGTGTGGTAAACATGCACGACTTCACCTTCGACAACTAACCTACAAGAAAATGACAATTTCCAATCCTAAATTAAATTTGCATGTTTTGTTTTGTTTTGTTATTTTTTTAAGGGAAGGAAGAGTTGTTGTAAAGACAACTGAGGAACTGCCTAGTCAGCGACGCATTCTATCCACAGGCCGGAAATCGTGAAATCTCGAATTAGCACGTACACTCTGGGCGCCTCATTTCAAATTAACCCTGTCACTCTCAAGATCTCATTAGCAATTCTCTTTACTGTGTACCGTACAGTTCTCATACTGTCAGTTTGAAGAATTTGGTATTAGATCGGCAAATAATCGCTAACTGATATTTTTTTAAATTCTCATCACTTGTGTCCTTGATACTGTATTGATATAGTAAGGAGAAATCTTTTCTTGGTCATTCGTGTGAAATTAAAAGGGTTACAGTAAGGACGGGAGATCCTACCTTGCCACTCCTTTTCGTATCAGCCTGACTTCTGTTTCCTCGTTGATAGAAACTTTGCCAATAATCTTTCCTTCTTTCCACGAAGAATCACTGCCAAAGACACTTTTCTTTGTTTCTTCTATAATAGAACGATAAGCCTCTTTCACTTCATCAACTTCTAAATAAATCTCTCGGTCGTCTATCAAACACCTGTCAGTCTACTGTCGGCCCTCTGCCGACCAGCCGTCGGTCCACTTTCGGCCGACAGCCGACAGCCGACAGTTAGCCGTTTACATTACAGCAGTTTTTAAGCAGTCAAATCTTTAAGTACCTTATAATAGAACGATAAGCCTCTTTCACTTCATCAGCTTCTAAATAAATCTCTCGGTCGCCTGTCAAACACCTGTCAGTCTACTGTCGGCCCTCTGCCGACCAGCCGTCGGTCCACTTTCGGCCGACAGCCGACAGTTAGCCGTTTACATTACAGCAGTTTCAAGCAGTCAAATCTTTATATATATATATATAGAGAGTTTGAGCACTCTGGCATGGCATAGATGATACCACATGTGTGAGATCAATTGGGGTGGCTATATGGCCTTACCTCCATCCTAGCATCAGCACTGCACTGATGAGGCCCAGAAGGCCAAAACAGTACTGTCTGAAGTTAGTTAGTTAGTTATATATATATATATATAGAGATATATATATATATATTTATGAAAGAAAAATAGTGAAAATCTTCAGATTTAATAACTCTAGTTCACTCACCTTCAGTTAAAACTGGAGGCAAAGAATCTCGAAGGACTCCCACTGCAAACTGGCCACAACAACAGAAAATTTTAGAAAAAGGAGAAGGATAGACAAAGGAATACCATTTAATCCTTTCACTCACAAGATCCCATCAGTAGTTTCTCCCATTGTCTGCTATACAATCCTTATGATGTTAGTTCTGAGACTTTGGTATTGGATCAACTACTCATCCTCTAATTGATATTTTTCTATATTCTCATCACATGTCTGCTTGATATTATATTAATACTGTAAGGAGAAATTCTGTCTTGACCACATATGGGAGTTAAAATGTGAACAAAATATTGACCAAAAAAATGTCTGCAGTTGAACATTTTACCTGGTCGACAGCTGCATCAACTGGAGCATGTGACACCAATTTCATCATAAGTTTTTCCACCTTCTTCAGGAAATCTGACCTCTCTTTGGTGTTCTTACAGAAAAAAGGCATCATTTCATGATCAAAAGTGGTGAAATAAAGAAATTCCTTGTTCATTCATGCTGGAAGAGGTACCAGTGCAAAAAAAAAAATGATGTTTGAACAGTCAAGGCTTTCCTTATTGTCTTCAACCTTAAATCAGAATATTAACTAAAGCAATTGCTTGCCAGAAAAAATCCCTGCTACACAGCCTAATACCAATGGAAACACAGTTTTATTTCACAAAGTATATAACACACAGTCTGACTTAAAAAGAACATAGTAATTACTAATAAGAGCAAAGTTTGTTTGTGTATTTGTTGATTGAAGTTTTAATTTATGCCTTTTTCTTCAATTCTGACCATGGGAACTCACCGATTCTGAATTTGCCACACCCATATAGTCAAGATAATTAAGTGGCAATCCTTGACGGAATTCACGATCCTCTTCAAATGCAACCTGCAGAGCACCTGGAATTAACTGTAAATTTGAATATTCAAATAAAATTGAGAATGAAACATGGAAAAGCATAAACAAATAAAGTACATTTTTCTACATAAATTTAAAAAAATGAGCAGTCCATCCTTTTCCCAAGGAATCTGTTGGGGAGCAAAAAAAATTCAGCAAAAACAAAAATTATGTTGTGTGCCATGCAGAACTATAGGAGTAAGGCAGCTTCTGTCCATGCACCTCACAATGTTCCCCAGTGCACTCTAACATCAATTTTTTGCTTTTGCTTATTTGTTTTCACTTGCGCAAAGGACTTTGCCAAAAATGAGGGACTGCTCAAAGTCTACAAAAAATACAGGTAGTTCACCTTTTCCATAAAATCCATCCAGGAGGTCTTTTGATAAGTGGACAGAGTGATATGTAAAGAATGTGTATCACTTGGTGTATCTGCCTAAATGTGATAAAAT